TTTTTAAGTGAGTTAGAATTAATAAAAAAACTATATTATATTGCAGAATTGTTTCTTTTCATAATAACTTAAATGTCTGTCAAATCATTCAGTTTCAACAACTAAAGAAAAGGTTAATGCCATATGTTTTTTCGAAACCATAACTAACAAAAATAACTAAAATACACGAGAACATTGTGTATGTAAAGAATATGCAATAGATAAACAATGCTTCCTATTTAAAAAAATAAAATGTGACACCAAAATAAGAACTTTGAACACCTTTAATTCTGGAAGATCTCACATTTCTGCACCAACATCATTGAAATTAATTTGAAAGTTTCATTCAAAAAACATATATTGGCTTTCTATTTGAACTTATTGAAGCATGAAAATGACAAACATGAGAATCAACAATGATGAAAAAAGATGACTCATAGTTTGAAATGTCAAATATTCATGAAAATTATTTAAGCCCTACGTGAGATTTTGAATTCAAGATAACATCACAATTTTGATTGCATCAACAGAGGCATTCCCCAGACATGGGGTCAGGGAGTTCAAAGAAAACATTTTTCTTAAGCAGAAAGGATGCACATGTACAATGAAGAATTGTTTCTTTTCCGCCCAAGTGCATAAGGTAACCTTCCTTGTTTATTTTTGATCGATTTGTTGCCCATCGTGATGATCTCCTCGCCTGCCTGTCTTAACCTCCGATAGCTTCGTCGGTAAGTTTCCTGTCCTCTCCGGGGGACCGGATGAAGGGTTGTTGTTTTGACGAGAGTTCACTTCCCTCTGAATCCCCGTCTCAAAGATTTAGATTTCATTAATTCTTGCTTTAACTGGCATTTGGAGGTAAAGTTTCTTCTTCTCTGGCTAATGAAGTATTTTATTTGAAAAAGTTCTTTTCTCTTCTTCTTTATCCTAATTATAAAGATTTTCATTACATCTGTCTTGGTATTCATGAATTGGGAAAAGATATTTCCCAGCTAAGTTCCTTTGCTATTGGGGGAATTTGATTTTCTTTCTTTCACTTGTTATTCTTAAAATTTCACTGCACTATGTTGGATATGATTGATTCAAATTATGCGATGACAGATTTGGTTGAATTATGAATCAGATTGTTCATCTTGTTTTCGGTCTGATCATTTTATAACAGAAAGAGGGTGATATTATAACGAGTAAGTGGCATGTATATTGAATTATCGTACTCTTAGTGGTTGAAAGTTGGATTATTATAAGCAAGGATTTATTATACCCGATTTGATTTAAGGTCAATGGATATGTGAGTTTTATTTCATAAAAATTCACGAGAGGTTTTATTTGTTATGTAATACTTGGGATAGCTAGATCCCTTTCACATCTAATTTTATGGAAATATTGTCTCTCTTTGAATCCCCGTCTCAAGATTTCTTCTCTTTCTTGACTTTCTAAAGTTCTTGATTTAATAAATATTTGGAAGTGAAAGATCTCTTCATTGTTTTATTATTCAAATCTATATATGTATACTAAGAAGGGTTGATAAAAAATCTTCATTCACCTTGTAGATCTTGATTGATTGTAATAATTCCTTTATGTTTACTTCTTTTGGTAAAATGTTAGATCATGGTTCAATCTCTCTAGTGTGATGAAACATGGAAGTAAATTAATTCATAAATCGGACTTATTGAATCATGTTGAAAATGCTTCTACACATTAATTTCCACTTTGTTTTTCTTGGTAATATTTGGTTTCGGGACTATGAAATGGAACGAATTCAAAGTTTATACGACGATGATCACCCTTATTGCGTTGAATCCTCGTTAGTAAGTGATAATCTAAACATAGACAGAGGTTCAAATATTTTAATGTGAGTATATAATGTTATTTTTCAATACCGTTGAGCTGGCAACTTCTTCATCGATTTGAATTTTTTTTTTCGGTCTGTAACTTCTTCTGAGATCAATATGTTCTGAAAGTAAGGACTTCTCTCTTTCCTCTCTTCTTTAGTTGTCTAATATGATGTTCGATTTCATGCTGAAGTTCTTTTACTTTTTTTTTGGTAATCAAAATTAGAGATGAGATTCTTTATTATAAATTGAAGGGTTCATAGTTCTTTACTTTATCTTCTTGTGAATTATTGGAATATACCTTCCACTGGTTCTTTCTATGAAGAAGAAATGAGTTCCTGTTAATAGCATGCTTATTGAAATATTTTCTTGACTACTGTTGAAATTAAAAGAAAAGCTTGATATTACTATGATAATCATATTATTGATGCTTACATTTTACTAATGGAATATATTACAGTGAACTTATTCAGAATTTGTTGAAATATTTCAGTGTCCTTGAAAATGCATGAATAAACTATTACAAATCATGGTTATATGTATATGTTATTGTTTTTACCATCCTTTATTGTTCTTCCTTGGCTTAAAAGTATGTATGGTGGCATGTATGTAAGAAGAAATTGAAAGTGTAGATGTTAGGCATGTAAATGTATAGGAATTGAGTGATACAGATGTAAATCTCTCATTTCTAATTACTTTAGTCTTTGCGGCAATTTATGAGGATGTGTACAGTAATACCACTCAATTTATATGTATTTACATATATAACACCTAAAACTTCAATGTGTTCTATAGCATATGCAAGCAGGCCTATCGAGGATAAAATTTGGATTACATAAGTATACATAACTGAGTAAACGTTTACATAAGTATACATAACTGAGTAAACGTTTAAAGTCTTCTCTTCCTGCTTGTTAGGAAATAATGGATTTGAAAAAAAAAAAATAATATTAAGGTAGAGTGAGGTTTAGCTGTTCAATAAGTAAATCTGTAGAAATTTTGAGTATGCTTATCTTAGATATTAATGTTTGCATGCTATTCATTTCCTTACTTTGGATATGCATATACTACCTGAAATATGAAAGTTTTAATCTGATACTTAGTTAAAATGTGGAGCTGAATTTTTTTGAAGGCTTTGGAAGTGTTTTTTTTTTAGTTTCCTGGAAGCTGGATTTTTTTATGGCTTTGGGAGTGTCTCCGATTTGGTTTGTTGGAGCTGAATTTGGGAATTTTGAAATCTGGAAGATGTTCTCTGCTTTAGCTTACTGAAGCTGGAGTCCATAGGTAAACTTATTTTCAGCTATTGGATTTATTGTTTTTATTCGTTCGCTGACTTTAACCTTGATGGTTTCTTTTTTATCAAGTATACACTTTTATCTCATAATTTTATGTATATATTACTTTGAGGTAGTTGAGCATTCAGTTGATCACTTGCTTCAAGAGGGTGTTAACTATTTTAATAGTGACTGATTTGTTAATTCGACTTCTACAGTTTACACCTTTCTATTCTTCTGTTATGAGTATTCATAATTCATCATGTAAAGAATCCTGTTACTTTTATATTGATACAGTTGGATATGTTATACAGACAGGCGAGTAATGGGTACATTGCCTTTGTTTACTGATCATTAGAAGTTTACATATACACCACACAAATTTTAGATTCATTTTTGCTGTCTATTAGCCTAAACATCTTGATTGGCATTTAAAAATTGCAGCTAGCTTTGTATTTGCTTTACGATTTGGATTTGAAGGGCTGCTATCAAATTTTGTTTTATAATTTGGAATTGGAAAAGCTGCGGCTAGTTTCCCTTCCCCTTTGATTAAGTGTAGTTGACTTTGGAATTAGTAATAGCAATTATAGTTCATCTGTTTGAGACAATCTCCCTCTTTATAAACCTCTCAACCTGTTGGTAATATAGTAAGACCATTTGGTAAAATATTAGAAAAATCTTATACCTCCTTGGCTGTTGTCTTGCTACTTCATCTCGATTAATTGCTTCTATCCTTGTTCTCATTGCTTTTTTGTTATCGTTGTTTTTCGTGTCATTTGAAGCATTGAGTTCGCTTTATTCTTATCGACAGTGGTGCCATTTTCCCACCTTTGTTGCTTTATATCTATTTTAATATTTCTATCTTTGATACTCTTAGCTTGTTCATTAATCTTTCCTAATTTATGAATTTTTCTTTGAGAACTTCGTATATTGTTTTATAATTTGACACCATAGAGGCAACTCCCCATTTTAATCTCCCAACAATTTTTTTACCGCTTCTATCCTCTTTTGTACCCACATCATCTTGAATATTCAACCCATGATATTCAGTCCTATGACATTTAAGATATAAGTTTTATACTTGCAGACTAATTATTAATGCAAATTCGATAAAGCTATATACTGAAAAAATAATCTATTTTACTAATTCTGAGCCCATTTACTTTTTTAATTATTTCCTCTGTTTTTTAAAATTTCCATTTTGCCTTTAATATTGTACGATTTATGAGAATTATTTTATCTGGAAATAGAATATGTGAAGATGCCTGATATGGATTAAGAATATCACAACCAGTATAATTGATATAGATTTATTCTTAATCTTTGAATTGACTCTTTTTCTTTTGGAATTGTTTTTCCTTTCCACATTTATTTATAATATAGATCTCTCCATCATGCATATTCTGGGTATTTTCATCTTTCTTTTACAGAAAATTCTTCTCAATTCTCATAAGCCAATTCTCTTGGTGCTTGAATTTTATTGATTATCATTGTGATTTAATTATACATTTATTTCTTATCTACACCTCACTGCTACCTTAAAAGTTGCATTTTCCATATTACTTTTTATCATTTCTTTTACTAGATTCTGCAATTTCCTATTATCACACATTGTAAAGAAATATGCTTTGTCTACCATGCCCCTTCTATTTGTTTACGACTAATTTAATTATTTACTTCTTAATTGCCGCAGCTGAAAACATGTTATTTGTAGAATATTGTAATATTTAGCTGTAGCAAGACTTGTAATAAACTTTTCGATGTGAATTTGTTAACTGTGTTGGTTTAATGGTTCTCTTTGCTTCTGCATAAGTTAGCTCATTTAGTTTGGTGATATTTTTATGCTGAACCATCGCCATCTTTGTTTCATTTAAATTCAGTTTTTAACATTTTTTATTGTTTTTTATCACTAATGCAGGTAGCTACTCCTGGACGTTTTTTGGATCATCTTTCAAATACGAAAGGTTTTAGCCTTCGCATGTTGAAGTACTTGGTATGGAATTTATGTTGCTTCTTCTGTTTTATGAATACCATATTATTTAATATTTTGATTACTTGTTTGACATTCATTCATACAAATTTTCACTTGGTGATATGGTCTTATGCAGAGGTCTTTTTGGAACCATGGGAATTTTGATTTTATGGTTTTATTTGGGTTTCATAATTCTGGGAACAAGATTTAGGTTTCTATGGACTATTGGGCAAATTTCTTTTTCTGTGTGAGAGAGAGCGTGAGAGAGAGAGAGAGACCACCTTCAAATAGATTTTCTTGGAGTTTATGATGTGCTTTAGGAGGCGTGCCAAGAGAAGAAAATGACCACCTTGGAACTCATGCCCAATTGGGAGGCATGCAATTAGAGTGAAGGGAGGGAAGATTCGGCGAAGAGCCTTGGTTGAAAATTAGAGTGAGGGGGAGAAGAATTGTAAGTAAATTTTAAATAGAAGTATCATTTCAATTTCAGTTTTATAATCATGGTTACATAGAGGCTTATTTATATTCTTAATTGATAAGAAAAATTCCTGATTTTTACAAGTTATGATAAAATATTGAATGCCACACTCTATATTAAAATTCAAGTTGAAGATAAGTATATCAGAATAATTGAAATATTTTCTTAATTTCCTTTCCTCCTAACCGACCCTCACTTAGACTTGAAGGAAAATTTTACAAGATGGTGAGATCTGCAATGCTTTATGGCGCAGAATGTTGGTCTTTAAAAGAGAAACATAAAACTAAGTTAAGTGTTGTTGAGATGTGAATGCTTAGGTGGATGAGTGTCTTGAATCTTAGAGACAAATGTATCCATGAATGGGTTGGTGTAGCTCTAATGAGATAAGATTAGAGAGATTCGTCTTAGGTGGTTTGGTCACATTAAACATCTATTATCTGATGATTCGGTTAGGAAAGTAGATGTTTTAGATTCAACTTATGTTAAGAAGACAGAGGTAGACATAAAGACTTGGACATATTGGATAAAAAATGATCTTAATTTCTTAGAATTAAATGAAAATATGACACTCACAATGGAGAAAAAGGATTCGTGTAGCCGAACTCTCTTGTGAGATAAAGGCTTGTGTTGTTGTTGTGGGATCAAAATTATATTATTTGTATATTTATTAGCTTAATTGTTATTTCAATTAGGACTTTTAACAAATTAATGATCATCCATTATTTTTTTTGGGCAAATTATAGTGTAATGTTATTCATTATTTTAATAGTGATATAAGCATTATTTTAATAGTAAAATAATCTAAAAATGATGAAGGGCCATGATATACTTTGAAAAATGCACCAAATGCCATCTTAATGATAATTTAGATCCAAACTATTACTTAATCAAATGGGTTGACTTTTCTGCTTTAATGAAAATTTTGTTGGAGGTGCTATTTATTTTATTTTTTGCTTAATTTGGTAACTATCTTCATGATTATAAAATGAGACATTTATTTCTAACTAAAGGCTTTATTTCTGGAACTTTTATATATATATAGTTGTTATTTATATATACAGTGTTGATTTCTTATCTTTTTTTTGCTAGTGGTTATTCATTCTGATTTTGTATTTCATACCGGACAATAAAGTTTCTGACATGTTTGGATCATGGTAGGTTCTAGATGAGGCTGATAGGTTGCTCAACATGGACTTTGAAAAGGCTATTGATGATATTCTTAAGGCTATTCCCAGTGAACGCAGGACATATCTGTTCTCGGCAACTATGAAAAAAAAGGTGGATATAAATTTTATGTTTGTTTTACAAAAAAATGCGTGTTCTGTTTATGTTTTAGCTTAATTATGTATCTAATTTTCAAATTGTTTATTTTTTCTGTTGCCTGGATGCTAGGACATAATTATAGTTATCTTTTTTTTTCTACTTGTAGCATACATTTTCAACTTTAATTGCTTAATTATTAAGTGCATAATTAATTGATGTAATTTGCAATTTCAGAAATAATGAACTGATGATCTGCTGAATATGTGCTTATGTCGTTGGCTCTGCTTTTTCTCGAAAGTTCATATGCTAATAATGAAACTTTTGGATCTTGAGTCCTGACAAAATTGAATATTTATCGTGCTCAATATTTTGTGTTTTTTTTTTTTTAATTTATGTGCATTCTATCTGCACCATTTTTCTTGTTTGATTATTTTATCTATTAGCAGTAGCCTAGTGAGTGATTGGGTCTGGAGCCATATTAGGTTGCTTAATCTTGAGGTTATTGATTCAGCTAATGAAAATAGTTTCTCTATTATACATATTTAAGACTTCGCACATTAAGGCATGTTGGGAAGAGCCGCTCTTTTTTAGTAATAGTACAATTCTTATAATATTACTTGAACAAATTAATTTTGCTTTACTTTCTTAATATTCATTTTGGATAGAAGATTTAGCTCTGATTTTGCTTTCTGCAGGTTGGAAAACTTCAGAGGGTCTGTCTTAAGAATCCTGTAAAGGTATATATCTCAATGCAACAACTTATTTTTCGAATATATATCTCTAATTTCTTTTTGGAATGTTTAAATTGTATTAGTTATTTTTTCTTTTAGATTGAGGCATCCTCCAAGTATTCTACAGTGGATACTCTGAAGCAGCAATTTCGTCTGGTCCCTGCCAAGTACAAGGTTCCTGTCATCTATAAGGCTTCCTACAGTTGCTTCTCTATTAATTAAACTAATGCTTCTTTGATCTCGAGTTCTTGTTTTCCAAGCGGGCAAATATATGTGTGGATCATTTAAATCTTATAAATTTGAATAAATTTGTGTTAATCTTAATTCTATATTTTTTATATAAGAGAATATTTTGAGAAACACTCATTAGCTTTGAAGATGTTAGAGGCTTTTGATATTCTGAATAAAAACTAAACGTTAGTAGTCTAGAACTGACAAATTAAAACATATTATCTTTCTTTTCAGAAAAATATGGACTGCTTGCATTATATATATTAAAATGTAATCGACATATTTAAGCTATAGTTTGATTTGAGCATTCAATTCGAAATAAGGCTATTACTTGTTTTTCAAATGATTTACTTAATTAACCATTATTTATTACATTTTTTGTCCTTTGACTTTATTGTATGGTTGGGTACATAATTTTTTCAGGACTGCTATCTTGTTTACATTCTGACTGAGATGTCTGGAAGCACATCTATGGTTTTCACTCGTAATTGTGATTCTACACGACTTCTGGCTTTGCTCCTTCGGAATCTTGGCTTAAAGGCGATACCCATCAGTGGTCAAATGAGTCAGGTGCTATCAAATTTTTTTTTTGGACTTACCATGAATGATATGTTTCACTTATTATCGTTAATGACTTGTTAATTTTTATAGATTTTATTTATTATTTTTTCTTTTGCAACCTTACCAATTTTTATGTTGTTCATGGATATCTCATGGCAGACAAAGCGACTGGGAGCTTTAAATAAATTCAAGGCTGGAGATTGCAACATTCTTATATGCACTGATGTTGCTAGCGGAGGACTTGACATACCAACCGTTGATTTGGTCTTAAATTATGACATTCCCAGCAATTCTAAGGTCATTTCCTTGAGTATTTTAAGCTATTGAGCTTGTCCTTATCAATGACTTGAACATATGTTCTTACATGCACCTAACCACTCATAAATTTTGTATTTTCCATTCAGACTAATACTAGTGCAGTGATGCATACACTTCTTAGAAGGTTATCTACATGTGCATCCTTTCTGCTTAAGAAAAATATTTTCTTTGAACTCCCTAACCTCACGTATGAGGAATGCCTTTGTTGATGCAAATAAAATGGTGGCGTTATCTTGAACTCAAAATCTCATGTAGGGATCAGATAATTTTCATGAATATTTGACATTCCAAAGTTTAAGTCACCTTTTTTCTTCATTGTTGATTCTCACGTTTGCCTTTTTTGTGCTTCAATAAGTTCGACAAGAAAGCCGTTGTTTTTTTTTATGGAATTTTGAAATTAATTTCAATGATTTTTGTGCTGGAATGTGAGATCTTCTTTAATTGAAGGTGTTTAGAGTTCTTATTTTTGTGCCACGACTCATATTTTTGAATAGGAAACACTATTTATCTGTTGAATATTATTTACATACACAATCTTCTAGAGTATTTTAGCTGTTTTTGTTTATTGTTTCACTTATGACATGAACATTTTTTTAGTTGTTAGAACTAGATGATTTGATAGACATTAAGTTATTCTGAAAAGAAAAAATTCTGCAATGTAACATGGTTTCCTTATTAATTCTAACTCACTTAAAAATCTTCGTAAATTTGGTGCAGGATTACATCCATCGCGTCGGTAGGACTGCTCTTGTTGGGCGGTCTGTATTAGCCATCTCATTAGTAAACCAGTATGAAGTGGAATGGTACATTCAGATAGAACAGCTTATCAGTATGTTTTCTTTTTGCAACCACCCATGTTATGTGGAACATAGAAATCATTGTTGGTAGGTAAGAGCTTATCTTCTGTTATTGCTTGTTTTGAAATTTGTAGGAAAAAGGTTACCTGAGTTTCTAGCGGAGGAGGCTGAAGTTTTATTTTTCTTGGAGAGAGTTTCAGATGCTAAAAGAATATCTCAAATGGTATTATAGATGCTTGCATATTCTCAGAAACTTATTCTGTTGCAGTTCATATTATTTCAATATACTACTTAAAAATTTGCAGAAAATTAAAGAAAGTGTGAGGAACAAGAAACAGAGGAAGGGTGGGGATGAAGATGATGGAGAAGCTGAAATGTATGCCTTTAACACCAAGAATGGAAAGACATCTAAGCGAGGGAAAATGTAGCTTTGAAGGATCTTTGCACGTGAGGGGTTATGCGCTTCTGGTTCTTTGTTAATCTTATTGTTTTTTTGGCTCCATTTTATTGGAGGTACAACCCCAATTTTGGTAGATTTCTGTTATTCGTCTCCGACTCCCTTTAATTGTAGATTTCTGTTGTTATTTGTCTCCGACTCCCTTTAATTGTAAAACGTTAGTTGATAATTCTTAAAGATGAGACTTAACTTAGGAATTTATAGTGAAATTTATTTTCTTTCTTTTAAAATGATATTGCAAGAATAGGGGTTAATGAAGTGAAAATGAATTAAGTTTATTCTTACGATTGTTGTTCATCAGTTTATCTGTCTCTAGATATCAAAACTGTAGTTAGTAAAATAATATTTTCGTTTAAAATATTTTCTAAGTGCTTTAGTGGTGATTGGCATATTTTTTGAGTTCTTTAGTGAGGCTTACCTACCCTTTTGTCATCTATTAGACTGTTGCTGGCTGCTTGTTGGTTGTTACACTAATAGAAAACTTCAAGATAACAATCAATGAATGACTACTCTTTTGATTTTAATAATCAATTTATGGTAACTTTTCTATAATATATATAGTCATGAGAAGGTTCATTATACATTTGAAGAGGTGAGGGACATCCTAAATTCCTAATCTCTCTATAGTTCTACAACTTCTCCAAAAGTATAATTTGCCTCAGTTTATGAAGATGATTATGCCTCTCGGCTCAAATCATTTTCAATACATCTAAATGAGAATGTTAGCTTACTTTGTCTATCTTAACACGTGGTTTTGTGCAAAATGCACTAGTTTTTGAAGTTTTTCTTTTTTTTCTGAAGCTCTATTCTGTCATCATTACCATCTTCCTTTCTAGCCTTCATTATTTCATCCAACAAATTTTCATTTGACATAAACTAACCTTTCGTTTGGGGCGGATTATTTGCCACGACACAACTTCAGAACGTTGGGTCTTTCGTTTGAAAAGTGCGGTGCGACTGCTTCTCAGGATTAATTGGGAGGAAATGCGGCTGCGAGTTTGAACTCGAAGCTCGCGTTCCGTTGTTATGTTGTGATGGGGCCACGTTCGTGTTTCCTCACTGCTTCTTTCTCTCTCGTGGGTCTTTTGCTAACGTCCCTCTCTCTCTCTCTCGTGAGCTTGTTCTATGCCCTTTTCTCTCGCAATACTCACTAGGCTACCTTTCTCTCGATTCTTTCTCTAACTCCCTCTCTCTCTATCTCCCACAGTTCTTACATATACGGTGTTGCCTCTTTCTCTCTCGCTTCTATGGCTTAACTGTTGGAGTGAGTTCTCCTCTCCCTCTCCTTTCTTTGCTCTTCGACTTTGTTTGGATCATTTGATTCCTCCTCATCATGTGGTTCCTCTTCGTGTGGTGGTTTTTGATCATTTGCTCTAACTATGCTTTCATATTCTCTACCTTAACATAAATATTGTGGTTTTTTATTTTCAAATGCATATGCGCTGAGATTTTTGTGGGTTCTCTGTGCTTTTATCCTTCGGTGGTTTTCAGTTGATGTTGGATTTTGGATTTTTGGGAATTCCACGTGCAATGACTTGGAAATAGATGATTGCTTTCGGCTGATGTTGGATTTTGGTTTTTTGTTTGATCTCTTATGTTCTTGATGTTGGCCGAAAATATGTGGAGGTGTTGATTGCACGTGCAATGATTTGGAAACAAGGGGTGCTTTTTGGTTGATGTTGAATTATTGTTTTTTGTTTGCTCTATTATGTTCTTGTAGTTGGCCGAATATATGCGATGGTGTTGATTGCATGTGCAGTGACTTGGAAATATAAACAGTCACTTGGAATGTATATGAGTCATATGTTAGTGTGTAGAGGTGATGACAGTGATGTTGCCGATGTGTTGGTGTGTTGCATTATTTGTTTGTGGAGATGGTGGTAGTGTTATTGTCTGTGGAGGTGTTGGTGGTGTTGTAGATGTGGTGTGTAGAAGTATTGATGTGTAGATGTGGATGTGTTGGTGTGTGGATGCGGAGGTGGTGATGTAGGGTGGTTGGTGTGTGGAGGTTGTTAGTGTGTGTGGCTGTTGGTGTGTGGTTGTGTGTGTTGGTGGATGTGTTAGTGTGTGGAGGTGGTGGTGGCGGTGGTGCGGAGGTGTTGGTGTGTGGAGGTAATGGTAGTGGTGTTATAGATGTGTTGGTGTCTTGTTGTGTTGCTGTGTGGAGATGGTTATAATGGTATTGTGGATGCGTTAGTGTGCGCAGGTGGTGGTAGTGGTGTTGTGAATGTGTTGGTGTGATGTGAAGGGACATTGTTGATGATATTATGACATTCATATTTTTCTTTGATTTATAAATATTTTTTGGATAAAAAAAATTATGTTTAGTTTTTTTCATGCTAGTAATACAATGGTTAAGATAAAAGAGGTTAGTTCATTTGCACAGTGGGATAAAGATAAAAAAATAATATTTTGTGACTTTTGCTTTAAGGAGGTGGACTTGGAAAATAGGTCGACAACCTATTACAACAAGGAAGACTGCTAAAATATCATTAAAAATTTCAAGAAAAGTATAGGTAGGAAGTATGATAACATGCAATTAAATAACAAATTTGTTCAATTAAAAAAGGATTGAAAATTTAGAAAGAACTGAAGTGAGGATCTACGGGCTTGGGTTGGGTTCCAATAAAATGAACAATTGATGCATTGGAGGAGTGGTGGGCAAAGAGATTAGGGCGAGCTTTTTTGAAACGTCCATTGCTTTTGTCTATTTTTCATTTTTTATCAAATGCTTCAACATGCCTTATAAATTTGTAGACGATGCTAGCTGCAAAAAAATTTAAACGTAGTGGTATTGATTCTGAGCTAGAAGAGAAGTTAGATCATATGTTTGGTAGTGTGGTGGTAACAAGAATAATGCATGTGCCTCTAGTGAGGCAGGTTTTTGTGGCATCATTAAAAATTTTGCTGTTGATCCAACAAGTGATTCTAATGAAAACTCCAGCCCGAACCTTAAGGAAGTTGAATCCACTAGCCGATCAAAGCATCCCAAGTTTCATAAGAAGAAAAAAGAGGGAACTACTTTCATTAGAAGTCAGATTTTACAGTTGGTGGCTTCATGCACCAAATGACCTTGGCCAATCACAAGCATCTATCTAGCAAGTTATGCCAATTCTAGAGGCAACTCTAAAAGATTATGAGGATATGTCGTCGTATTTATTCTCTATGAAGTTGTTTAAAGACTCAACTCAGAGAGAGTTTATCATGACAATGACCCTTGATCGTAGGGTGCATTATTTACGTTATTTTTATACGAACATTAATACTTGAGGGGCACTTGATTTTCATTATATTCTTGTGGAACATTTTTTATTTGATTTTTGATGTGCTTCTGTCCATGCTGCTTTGGATATTTTATATTTGTTATTGGTTATTTACTTTTCATTGAGACAATGTTATTATTTTTCATTATTTTGTTTTTTATTTTCTTCTTTAATTTTATTTTCAAGTGGTTTTTGTTCATATTTTTTTTTTTGGTTAAAAGAGCAGTTTGCGGCTCCTTACGTGTTAATTAAAAAGATATTACAAAATTTGGGAGGGATAGTAAGTGGTTTTTGTTCATATAATTATATAGTTATAGTTAATTCGGTAATGTTTATGTGTTAGCTACATTGACACTGAATAACATGGATGTAAATAGAGAAAGCCGTCGAAGGAGAGTTGCAGCTGTAGTGTTTTTGATGTGCAAGTATTATAATCTGTACATAAAGCTCTCCTTTCATGACATCTTCGTACGTTAGTGACAAATGGGTTGGGAAGTTGCTTGAGTGTCACCCAACGAGATTTAAGAATATGTTTTGTATGAAACAGGGGGTATTCACCGATCTATTGGAGGAACTGCATAGGAATCATGGACTCCATGACTCTACTAAGACAACTTCAAGAGAGATGTTAGCAATAACCCTCTACATATTATCATAGAATGAATCAATGCGATGAGCCATGAAACGATTCCAACACTTATTTGAAATAATCTGCAGATATTTTTCAGTTGGGTTGAATGCACTGGTCAGTTTTTTTTCACAAGTCATCAAACCAACTGATCCAACATTCGAAAGTACTCGCAGAGATTTCATATGATGCACAATATATGCAATATTTTCATGTAATTTTAGTCAAGTTTCAAATGAATACAATAATCTAGTTACCCTTATTAGTCTTCTCAGAATTGTATTAGAGCAATCGATAGAATACACGTGGATGCACGTGTTCAAAATAATGAGAAGATCACATTCATTGGTCGATGTGGGTCACCGACATAGAATGTCATGGATGTATGTAACTTCAACACATGCTTTCTTTTTTTATGGCCAGTTGGGAGGGTGCTACACATGCAATATTTTATATTTTATGAGTGGTTGATATAGTATTGTAATCACAATAGAATAATTTAAGAAATGTGACAAAGCAAAGAACTATCACAATATTTATAACAATAGTTTATAAGATGAAAAGTATTTTATGAAATCTTTGTTATTACTCATCCAATAAGTATTATATCATTCAGACTTTTTCACAAGTATTGTGTTAAATCCAAGAAAGTACACATGAGTTGTTGGAAGCCATGCTATAATATGCATATATGTTCTATATGATGTAAAATTGAAACTTGTACATTTATAATTCAAGATTGAGAAGACAAGTTATTATTCAAGTGATACACAAACAATCACAGTATAATAAAATATAATTCAAAATATAACACAACATCCAAAATATGATATTGCAATTTAAAAAGTGATGAAATTTTTAATATAACAGATATAAGCGCAGAAGTTGACAATAAAAGTATTTCCTATTAAATTTTATACTAACAGGTGTTAACTTTATATGATGTTATAATTATGTAATTTTGATGTCTAACATTGTCATTATGAAAGCCAAATTTAGGGTGCATTTGGGGCGGCGGAGTGGTACTACATCGCAATTTTTCTTGTTTGGCAAAACTACATTATGTCTGTGTTCTAAAAAAGCTACAACTAAAAGTTGTTTTTTCCCATGAGACATGACTATCTCCGGTGGTTGCTAAAAAGTTGCGGTCTAATTTTTTCAAATTTTTATTTAATAGCCATCGTAGCTTTTTAAACAATAGTTTATTCTTCAACAGCTTCACAACTACTTCTTTAAATAGCTGCAGTTGCTCCAAACATGCCCTTAGAATTGCATGAAAAATTAAATTCCTTACAAGATAATGC